GTGAACAAATTGTAGTGGTAAATGATTCAAATGATGCTTTTACAGTTGCTGAACAACCTCCCCCTCAATCAACTTTAGAACTCAAAATTGATGTATCTTAATCAGAGGTTAATGTGGCCACTACATTAGTTTCACCTAGCAACAACAAATAAAATACGCTCATTCTAAATCTGTTACGCAATCTACCTGAATTCATATGTTCTGATGATCTATCTTTAAGGTCCGATTCTCATTTGAAAGTGCTTACATAAGAAGGATGAGGCAATTAAAATGGATCCATATGAAAATTGGAGCTTGTGTGAGGGATCTTCATCCTCTTCGGATGTTGTAGAAGATAATAGTGTCGTTACTGGAACATCTTCAAATCAATGTGTTCATCATAAAATCAGCCATCTTGTTATTGTTCAAATGAGTTTCTAGAATCTTCATGTTTTTCTTATTTTTATGTACACATAAGTTCAAATATTAAAGATACACAAAACATTAAAAATAGACATAAAAACAAATTGTAGATCACTCTAAATACATTTAAAAAAATACAAAACCATAAAGTTTACACTAATCTACATAAATAAAAAAATATAATATCGAAACAAAATATAGTTTTAGATGAATACAAACATAAAAAAACTTCATAATATTTATCATGTATTTTTATTCAATTTTAAAAGAAATCGAAATAGATGTGAAACGACAATCAAAGTTCGGTCCAGAAATATGCTTAAAATTGATGCTATTTGAACCATTTATTTCCCCAATTTCCGATTGTTAAAACCAATTTTTAAAACATTAGTTATACATAAAAGAAGTGAATTATATAGAACGAAAACTTACCTAATCGTCAATAGTTGATACCTACAAAAACTAGTAAAAGTTTTTTCTAAAATAATAATCTGTAAAGATTCTTATATCATAAACTAGTAATTTTGTATTCCTTTATGATGCAATGTCATTATGATTCTTACCGGAACCTCCTTTTCTTGGTTTGGTTTGATTGGGACTGTGGGGGATCACTCATCACAATATCATGCAAAGAAGTGAAGAACTCACTTTTGACGAATGGACATCTCTCTCTCTCTCTCTCTCTCTCTCTCTCTCTCTCTCTCTCTCTCTCATTTTATTATAAATAAATATATTTATTATTAAATAATAGCCTTATTTTGACGCGTTTCATATTATTGTATCTTAGTAATACGAGAATTAAATCGTTTAAAATTCAATTTGAGCTATAAACGATTTTTATATGCATCTAATATGAATATGCATGCTGTAGGATTGTTGTTAGATCTAGTAACAGAATTTGAGCACATGAATTATATGTTTGTTAAGTTTTGAGTTGGTGTGTGTGGAAGAGAAGGTCCACATGTCACTAGTATCAAGAGGTCCACAAACATGATGATGTGAATTTTTCATATCCAAAAAAATATATGACCCAAAATTTTCAATATCTAGCCCATAAGTGGATCCACTAGATACTAACCGGATCCTCCCAAACTGCCTATTGGAGAATTTTTATGGTCTTGGAAATTTTGGATAGATATATGACTCGAAAAACTGATCCACAAAACCAAAAACCGAACCTAGTGGGTTTCATAACTCAAAAACCGAATTTATCGGTTTGAGTTTGGTTTTACCCAAAACTGACCAATACTCAGTCCTATTTATCTGTATAAAACAACTTATAATACTCCCCAGACAACGCAAATCCTTCGTCCAACACAATCTCAATGTTCATGTCATATAAAACTTTAAAATTCGCAAACTTCTCCACCCCAGCGTGTCCACCGATTACGTCATTGGGAACAAATGAGATATAGATTGTCCTAACATGCATGAAATTGGAATCCTTGACCTTTCGAATGGATTCCAGATACTAACACCCAACAAACTTCATATAATGTGACCCTCTAGTGTATATGTTGTCGTCTTTAAGGTCGATTGTGACGTCGAATGGAAGGTTGGAGCCATTTGTACATGGGGTTTGATGGGGACAACGTCACTGTGTGCGGTATTATTTGATGATATTGTTGGAATCTTGAGAGGATTGGCTCATGAGCGGTCATGGATGACGTTTGTAACAGAAGGACGCCAGACAGCGGCAGAGCGTCTATAGGGTCAGGGGGGCCATGGCCCCCCTGATTTTTTAATTATTAATGCATGGATTATATATGCATAGGATTACTTTGATTTTTATATATATATGTAAATACATATATATATATATATATACATATATATATATATATATATATATATATATATATATATATCATTGATCTAATAAGTAATTAACGGAAATCGTGATAATTGCTGAAAAAAAGATCTAAATAAAACCCAATAAATTAGGAAAGTAAACTCTATGAACCACAAAAAGATTCTAATCTACAATTTATAAACTCAAATCTTTGAGAAACTATAAACCCTAAACTAAAGAAATATGCCGCCATAAAAAAAAAAACCTTGCTCACGAGATCATATCACCACTACTGCGGCTGTCGGAATGCAACAATCCCTCTCTCTCCGCTTTATCTTCATCACCTACATGCGGTGTCTGTCACTCGTCTCCGCCGTTTGCCGACTGCTACTCTAACCAACGACCTTAGCAGCCGGTGCTTCCTCTCCGATAGATTTGTGCTGACCTTTGTTTGCTTGTTTCCCTTCTCCGACATCTTCTCATCACCGGGCTTAACAGTAAGTCTTTCTCACTTTTCTCTTTCTAATTTCTTTTATCTTTCTCTTTTTTCTATCTCTCTTTCTAGATGTGATATAATTATTGAAACTAACTAGACAACTGTAAAAGTAATAAAAAAGCTGCAATAATAGTTTATTATTTTTTAATGTTGGTCAAGTTATAAGTTATTGAATTGTTAAAACAAACGACTAGTATAAAAATCTTACCAAAATGCAAACATGAATTAGGATATTTTTGTTTTTTAAATGTATATGTTAATTGTTAGATTCTGTATATTTTTTACTGTTAATTATTTTTGTATTTTCATTAAATTATAATAATGACTTTTGTAGGTAAATCAAAATAGTTAGTTGTTTGAAGTTTGAACAAAAAAAATTTGTTTATATGTTTTTCTCTTGAAGTTTGGTTCCGGCCCCCTCACTTTTGATGCTTGTGTTCCGTCCCTGGCGCCAGAGATAAGTAAAAGAGATGAGCCATTGAATCACATCGTTATCTTGATGTAAGAACATTTGGTAAATGACTAAATGGTGACGATTTGAATTTAGATGAAAAAATGATGACGTTTATGTAACTTGAATATGATTATTTAAGTCAAAAGTCATTGAGATAACACACACAACCTAAGTAGAAGGTCATAAAAGGGAATGAGAACAAAACTGAATGTTCAATAGCTTAATTGTAATGATTTGTACTTCGATGCTCATTTAAGTCAAAAGTCCTTATTAATACAGCCAACCTAACCTCACTTATTATTTTACATGATGTTATTATCCTCGTTGAAGTTGTCAATATTATAAGTTTTTAAAAGAAGAAAGTGCCTATTACTTTTCAAGCACTTTACTCTTCATTCAAAATCTTTTAATAACAAAAAATTATCCTAATACAAAATGTCAAGTAATGGTATTACTTTTCTTTTACATGATTGCCATTATGAAACTAAAATGTTTAAAATACATTAAAGATATACATTTCACTTTTCTTTGTATTGTTGTCTTAAATCCTACTATAAATGTTGGTGGTGTAGGAACCATAATTTCAAAAATAGAAACGAATTTACATATAGCCCAAATCCAACCATCACAAAAGTTATTTCACCATCTTGCAACAAAATATAGTCAACTAACTAATCCAACAGATGATCATATGAGGAAGGGGAGACAGAGTAATTACCTAAAAGTACCCAGATTGTGAATCACAAACTTTATAATACTTTAATGGAGAAGTTGAGTAAACGCCATCGAACTTCGGCCTTGAGTAGCGAATTAACAAAAATTATATGTCATCAAACTTTTAAGCCCGTTTTAGTGGAAAGAAATTTAAAAGCATTGATATTTTGGCTTGGTGGATGAAAAGAGAACTACATTTCTGATTCTAGCTTCCACGACCCACGATTTACTAATCGTCAAAACTTTTATGTTAGGTTTGAAATCCACTTTCTCTTATCTTTGAAATGTTGCAAAATTGTGTTTCGTTTGAAGGTCTGCTTCTACCACCCGTTGAGGAATTCTTCCATTGAGAAGAAGCTTCATATCACCACCAACGACCAAAGTAGATGATAATGACATTGAGGGGGACACCATTTTAGAATTTTCAAATATAAATTTCAATTTCATGGAGACAACCAATTTGACCTAATCGTATTTTTCAATTTCTAGATTTCATGAAGACAACCATCCATATTACTAAATTTGTTAATTAGATATTTAAATATCCGGATATATCATATAGAATTTGTGTCCGAATTAATCCGAAATTCTATATGAAAATATTCGAACGATGACACCTTGGTGCACTTATACTGGATTTGCTAAGCTCATGAATTGGGCTGGAACTAAATTTGGGCCATACTGATGTAAAAATAAGTTATAAATTGCATTTCAGCCCCCAGACGTTTTTTTCTTACATTTCTTGCCCCAAAATTCTACATAGGTATCTAAATTGACAGAAGATACCCCTGCGGCACTCACACAAGATTTTAATGTTAAATTATATGATTTAAATAATTTTTCTAGATCATCAAAAGTTATAATTATATGCCAACTGTATCAATTATGGTTATTTTACTTCTTCCATGTTAGTTACAAGATTGGTTGATAAAATCGTTCAAAAATAACATTTACTCTTTTTATAGTAAGCAATAACTAATTGGCTACACAATAAGAATCTTTATACATAAAAACATGTGGGAATCCTTTTGTACCAATAATTTGAAAATTTTCATTTTAAGTTTTAACAAACATGTGGAATAGTTCAATACACAAATTTACATGATCACAAATCCAAATAAGAAACCAAACATATTAATTTACTCTAAACCAATTCTTTTAATAATTTCATTCATTTTTTTTAAATGTGTCAATCTTTCGTCGGTTTTTCCCCTTCAAGAGCTACAACTTAGAAAACCTTTTCTTTTCCCTCTTAATCTCGAACAAATTTTGCCAATTTTCAAGAATGGGGCTTATTTTCCCCTATACCATCCATCCAACTATTTAACAAATTAAAACACAAAATCAAGAAATATGAAGTTTCAAAACAATTTGAATGCTTCAATCCTGCAGAAATAGGACAATTTTCTGCTTAATTAGTCCGTATGCATACACTTTTAGGATGTCTTTGCCTTCTCTGCAGTCTTCTGAACATATACACAAATTCATTGTAAGGTTTAGAGGGGGAAATGTTAACGTATTTATGAGAAAATGAGTCCAATTTCGGTTGTACTTCATTGCTAATAAAATAATCAAGTGTAAAAATATTAAAAGATTTAAATCATCTCCAAACCAATACACCAGGTTTTCCCCCAAATTGACAAAAAAAATTGTAAGATTTGGTTCAAATTATAATCCTCTACAACTCATTACACCTTTTTAACATCAAAAATATATTCTATGTATATCTTTTTTCTTTTCAAACTTTTATCGGTTTTCAGAAGCAACCCCTACATTTATTAGCAACTAAACGTACATAATATATTTATATCAAACTTAATCTATAATATAGCATCACAAGCAACTAAAAATGAATAAATTAAAGGTTAAGAATCAAGTTGTATTTTGTACAAGTGAAACTTTAAAAATACCATATTTGTGTAACAGTGGGTGTTGGATTGGAGCAATTTAACATAAAAATGGAACTTCTTATTGGGTTGGAACTTGGAAATGCCCTTATCTAAAAAGAACGAGTCAAACGAGTTGAAAGATAAAAGTCTTCTAAATCAAGTTTTACAACTTCCTAAAGTGCATTATTCATGGGTCAATTAAGTAAAATTACAATATTTAGCTTTGGGTTGAAATAAAACCCGTTTCATGAATCCATGTTAAAGTTGAAGTACCCGAAACCGATTTTGGCCCCATTTTGCTACATATTGCAAAGATGAAGGTAAAGATTTATACCTTTTTCTGTTCTTCAAGGTTGGCTTTGATCAAGGAATACATTGCAACACCAGCAATGGCGATTGCAGTCCCAATTCCGGTTTGTGTTGAAATCCTATTCCCTGCAATTTGAAAATTTCAGAAAAAGAAACAAAAAAGCCGGATTGTTTTTCAATCAAACATGGTGTATTTGTAATGTAGATCAATTACCAAATACAATGATGGAGAAACCAATCACGAACACACGCTTCAACACGTTTCCTACAGCGTGCGTAAGCGGCGCAACCCTCTCCAAAGTGTTGGTTGCAATCTTGACACACAAGGAAAACAAATAATTAATCACCCAAAACCCTAATAATGAAAATTGACATTCAATTTGTTTATTTGTGCAAAAGACCTACACAAACACAATCTCATCCAAATCATATGTTTTGTTTTACCTGGTTGTATAGATGATAGAACATTCCGATCCAGAACAAATCGGATACGAACTTAACCATTCCAACTTTGGCTATTGCGTCCCTAAACCCGTATTGCATCAATTTAGGTCCTTCTATCTAAAAAAGAAAAAAAACACAAAATCCCAATTATTCTTAAATCAAGAAAAGAAGAAAACGAGTATGAACAACATAATAAGTTATCTTACAAGTATTGCTGGCGGGAGGCAAAATAAAAGTGCGATTATCGAAATGTAAGCATACACATTCGTGCTATCCATTCCTGTCTGTCAAATAAAAACCAAACGGATTTATAATTGGTTAATATTCGAGATAATTGGCTGATTATAATTAACAAAATATCGATGTTACCATGGCTTTCTTTGAATATATGCTTCTGTAAGTGAAAGAAATGTTAGAAATCATGGCGCTTGTGAATCCAAGCCAGTTGAAAGAAAGTTCGGTCAATGAGGCCATTGATACACCTAAAAGATTTATGTCATTAAATCATTAAAATTTCTACTTCTTTTCGTTAAAGTTAATTAAACAAACAGATAATAGTAAAAAACAGATATACCTAGAACAACAGGGGCCAACGACAGCCATAGTGAAAAGGGAATCTGGTGCCCTAAAACAAACTGAGAAGCTGCAGCACTGAAGAATGGCTCCAAAGCTGTTCACAATCATATCATACCAGTGTAATAAGTATCATACATACTAATACTAACTAACTCGGGTTGTTAATTTCCTGACTCGTTTTAACCTAGTTGACTCAATGAAACGAGTCACTGAGTCGACTCGGTGACTGTGTGTGTGCGCACTTTACCTTTGATTGTATGTGTAAAAGACACGGCGACAGCAGCGAATGATACATTGGACATGACGTGTCCGAGAGCATGACAAGCTGCAACCGGAGTCAGGACTCCAAGGAGATCCTTATTGATCGGCTGAAATACATAAAGATAAAATAAAGATAAAGATGGGTATAATACATTAATTATTTTGTGAAAAATAGTCAAAAAAAAAAATCAAAATTATATTATTAGCCACTAAAATAGATGGGTATAATCCATCTGCGATTTCGCCATGCCATCTGCGAACGTACAAGTGGCTAAACCACAGATGTGCTTTAGCCACTTGTACGTTCGCAGTTGGTATTTTTTTTTTTTCGCTGTATATATACTCTTTTTTTAGCCTAAAATCGCAGATGGATCATGTCCATCTGCGATTTCCTTTCCTTTTGAAATGCGATTTTTTGATTTTTTTTTTAATTTTGAAATTGATAGGTTTGACTACAAAACAATCTTATTATATATAAACTTTTTCAATAAATTATTATTCTTGTTATTATTTTTTTGGAAAATTTGTTTAAAACATCTCTAAAGAAATCGTCCATGATATCATCCATGATAGCTGTAAGGAAATCGCAGAGAGAGAGAGAGAGAGAGAGTTTCTCCAAGAAAGAGAGTGAAAAATGAAGAAAAAAAAACGTTTTTATACTAGATCCCACGAAATCGCGGATGGACTTCACAAAATCGCAGATGGAATGGCAAAGTCGCAGATGGGTTTAATCCATCTGCGATTTTAAGGGCTATTTTTGTAATTTGTGTTTTTTTTTTTTTGTTATTTTCTACGAAGTAATTAATGTATTTGGCTAAATTTGTAATTTTCTCTAAAGATAAAAGTTAGAAGGGTATTTATATCTTTTGTTGCATGAGACTGAACTCAATAGAACATAGACTATTTTTATTGATAACGGCTAGGATGACATTTTAATATTTTCCAATATTGTTTCATCTTTTTAGATGAGACAGAAAAAAATCGCAGTTTTATTTCAGTCTCAGTCTAATACATGTCAAACACAATATTAAAAGCAAACAGATGAAACTCACTGCACGTTTAGGAAGACCAATGGACCAACTGATGAGACAATATGTAACACCAACAAGAAGATGTACAACTGAAACAAAGCTGAAAATCAAAGAAATGAACTTTGTAATAGTGGGCATATAAATTTTATGGTTCTTTTTGGCATAATTATGGGGAAAATGGTAAAAGATGAACTTACTATGGATATGGGAAGTAGTTGTAGACTTTTTTGTTGAGTATGTTAAATATAACATTCAAAAAGTACCTTCATAAACAAATTTTGCAAAATCAGTCACCTTTTAAGTTAAGATCTAATTTAACTTGTACTAATATACTAAGTAACAAATGCAATTAAACTAGAATTATTCATTTATTCTATTTTTAGGACTAATAACGTACAAAAAAAATGTTGCTCAACTTACCAAGTAAAGAAAAAGAATCCCGTAACAAGAGGAGCTGGGAATCTTTCAGCGAAGCTCTTGGGAGCTTCAGCTATTTTCAACCTGACGTCAATTTACAAAAATACCCTCTGTTAAACACAACAGTTTTCTATATTGTCTTTTTCTTTAAAAAAAAAAAAGAAATATGAAATTCAAACTTCAAAGATACAGATTTTTACAAACCCCTCAGAAATCTCGATTTCCTGATCATCACCATCCGCCGCTGCTGCGGCTTTTACCACCGGAATTTGAACCGAACCCCGCCGTCGCAGGAGTTGATCCCAGCCGGAAAATCTCAAATGCTTACCAGAGAACTCGGCTGGTACCTTCTCCGGTGAGTTTCTGAGCGAAAGAACAATCGGTTGACTTGTACGTAGAGCTAAAGTAGGTGATGTTCTCCTTGAGGAATTGCTAAAGTTAAAGGGTTTTGCATGGTGGAGAGACAAATGCGACATCATTGAAGCCATGATTTTCGTAAACAAAATTGAAAATCAAAAGCTAGGACTATTTGATTTAACCCCAGAAACGGAGGATCAAAAGAGGGTTTTGGAAAACGATTTATTGGACAAAAGAAGAAGAGCTGTTTGATTAAACGTTAGATTCAAGGTCGGTTATTGGGGATTTGATTAATGGCGGATATAACAGAGAGATTGAGAGTTGTTATTTGTTTGTATCAATGGAACAAATTTTTGAATGAATTTGAGAAGGAACGGGATTCTGGGGGAGTTATTTGCTTGTCGCAAAAACTTCTTTATTGTTCATCTTTTTTAGCGATAATGACAACAAAGCCAAAGGAGAATTTTGTATGAATCTACTAAAGTAGGGTGTTAATACTTAATACAATAAAATTATATAATTATTAATTATAATAGCAGCAACTTTATTTTTATCTAAATAAATCAATCTAGATGTTTCTTTTCTTTGAAATTTAAGAAAGGAACTGTTTATATAGTTGTACAGATTTCAAAAGATTTTAGTTAACTTCTAAAAAAAATCGAACTAAAAACTAAATCGTTTGAAAATAAAAAATTTAAATTTCTTATTTTAAAACAAAATGTTTCAATCCAATATCTATTTGAGTTATCTTCTAACGATATTTTTATGTAAAATTATATATTTTAAACACTTCTATAAAATAAAAGCTATATATTCGAGATTCCAATACAGTTATTTTTTAAAAAACACACCCCGTATATTTTTTTTTGGAAACTGACGTACTTGGAGCCTAAAACAAGACGCCAAGAAACATGCTTAGGAGGTGACATGGTGTTTATATATTTTTATATTTATTTCCAAACAAAATAGGAATTTTATAATTACATATCCATTTAATGAAGTTTTCCTTGGCTGATCCCAAAGAGCAATCTTTACTTGAGTGAACTTATAATTGAATTTAATAGACAATATCCCGCCATTATTTATGTTAATAGTTGACAAATAAATAATCATAATATTTGTGAAAAGGCAAAGATGCTCTTAATTTTAATTGATCTATCAAGCAAGACACGACAAATTACACGCTTGTAATAGTTATATCTCATATAACACATTGATTTATTAGAAAAATAACTATCATAAACTTTTCGAAATACCTAATATATAGTCATTAAAACAATATTAAATATCTAATATTACATAAGAAAGTACAATATAATCAAATCATAAATATTACCAAATAAAATTGCTATTGACCCTTTTTCAACCTAAATCCTAACATGAGATGGAGCTAAACAAGTACCAAAGTTCACTTTCAAAATATATATAAAATTATTAAACCACTTGCATGTGTTTTTCTTTTTACATACTTAAAATAACTTTTATTAATAACTTGTTTTTACTCAAAATTACAATAATTACATCGTTTTGTATAACTCTAATATGATTAATCAAAACCAGACTTCTACTAACGCCACTAGACCAATAGAAGAACAATATAAGGAAATAATATTGTGATGAATTAGGTTGGATATTGTAATTCACTAAGGGGGCGTTTGGCAGGGCGTAATGTACGTGCGAATGGAATGACTAATTAAGCCGGAATGAAAAATTGTATGTTTGATTTGTTTAGGGAAAAGAATCATCCCCCTGTTTGTTTTTGTTTTGTTTTGTTTTTTGTTTTTTTTTTTCAATGAGAATACCAATTTTTGCCCTCAATCTCCATCAAGATCGGAAGAAATGATTTTGTGTATGGCTCAAAAGTAGCATGCGTAATCTCCACTTTATCAAAATCGTCTATCAACTTAATCCTTATCGATCCAAAAGAGCATCAACAACAAATGCACTTGTGTGTTTTCTTACTGAGCTTTTCTTTTTCTATGCTCCAAAAACAAGTGTTATATGATTTTGTGTATCGCTCAAAATTACCTTGTCTTTTCCATTATTTGTACATTACATAACTTTGTTATAGATAGAACCTATTCGAATGATTAATTTGTTAATTAAATGTGTAGTTAAAAGATAGGAAAACACAGTTACCTAATTGTTATTTCATAATAAACATTTGGCTTCTTCTGACAAATAACGTTTAAAATAGAAAATAAAGTTATAAAGTAGATGTAGTGGAAGTCGATGGTTGCACGACTATGTTGTGTCACCAAAGTTCTATCAAGTTTTAGGAGAAAAAGAATAGAAGACTTAAAATTGCATCGTATTTTGTCAATTTTTTCTTCTTTTGTGTAAATAACAAAAAGAAATATATAAAATTCGGAATTTTGCATATTTTCTTTAAAAAATATATGAAAAGTATCTAAAAATAATGGTTTTGTTGGAAATTTTAGTATAAATATGTATATTTTTACTAACTTTTGACATATATAAATATATACATATGTTGTATATATCATTAACTCTAAGTCGGGTTGCGTTCTTCTTCGTAAGAGCTTCAAAACGGTATATCGTATGTCCAAAATGGAGTATATGTGAATGAGATATCGATACTTAAAGTTAGGTATTTGAGAATAGAAGTTAGCAAGAGAGGTGGGCGATGGAATGAGTCTCACATTTGTAGAAAACTCATACTCAAGTGAGTTTATAAGCTTGGATGTATGATAGGCTTAAAAGCTTGTGTCTATGGTTTTCACTCCAACTCATACCTGTGCGTAGGGGGTGTGAAGATTTCATAGGCCAAATTAATCGAACTTGTGCATGGGCGCGACCTGCGGACATGAATGCAACACCAAAAACTCGGGCTTGTGTAACCCTCATTTTTGCTAAGCTTGACAGTTTTGGCCCTTGGTTTGAATTTTTCTAACTGATGCATTTATTGCACAATTAATGACATTTATCGACACGATCAATTCCTTAATTTGATACACATATACAATACTCATCTTCTTCTATATCTCATTTTCTTTGTAACTACTCCCTCATTCGATACACAGATGCAAATAATCATCTTCTTCCTTATTTTCTCTATAACTATTTCCTCATTTGATACACGAAAGATCATGAGATATAGAAGGTGAGAGAGAAGAACACACATTGGCAATGTTAGTAGCAAAATGTACAATGTATACTTTTTTGGTAAAATAAAAGTTAAACAGAAATTTTGAAGCGAAAGTAAACTAAAATCTTAGCAGCTTATGTTCAGAAATTTGAAGGTAGCGGAGCATAATGTTAAAGCCATAAATTAGCATTGTCTAACACAAGTAAAATGAAAGCATATAAATGTTGTTGTCACTAACTGCAGTGATCACAATTTTGTTCTTTGAGTCAATAACCTTCCCTTCACTGCAATCAAAGAGAACTTTGAAACCAGTGTCACAAAGTTGACTGATGGAAATAAGATTGTTTTTCAGGCCCTTGACATTGAACACATTCTTCATCTTGAACGCTCTGCACTCAAATGTTCCAACGCCCATGACTGTTCCTTCATTATTGTCACCAAAAACCACAATCAAACCATCTTTCTCCATAAAATCTATTAAGAGGGACTTGAGACTGGTCATGTGTCTAGAGCACCCACTGTCAAGGAACCAAGTATGTTCTAGATTCTGACTCGATTCTTGGACAGCTTGAGAGGTATCGGAGTTACACATGTTTAGATCACCATCAGGGGAGTCTTTGATAAGAGCCATAAGACCCTTAACATTTAGCCCCTCATCTTCAGATGTTTCCTCTTCTTCCACCCATTCCTCATAATCCTCTTGATTTGCAATGAATGCTTTTGGAAGAGATATATTCTCTTTCTTCATATGGGCCAACAACTTCTTGTACAAGACTTCATAACTCTCTGGGCTTTGAGCTTCTTTCTTCTTTTTGCAGTCTTTGGCAAAATGGTCAGGGCTTCCACAATTAAAACAGCTACCTGAGTTTCCTTTCTCTGAAGTAGATCTCCCTGCTGAACTACCTCCCTTAAACTAAGCTCTTCAGACTTCATTTGATCTGCTTTCTTCGTAACGTTTGACAATAAGTGTAGCGTTGGCAATAAGTTCGTCAATAATTTCTTCACTACTCACTTCACCCTGATCAAAGTCATCTGAGTCACTGATGAGATTCATTGCCTCCTTCCGAGAAACCAAAGCTACAGACTTTTCTTTTCTTGAGTCCTTCATGATGTCTTTACGAAGGTAATTTCTTAGATTTCCAAACATGGAGTTGAGATCTATGAGATTAATCCTCTCACTGTTTTTAAGAACATCAACATGATGTTCCCAACTTTTTCCAAAGGAATCCAATAATTTAAAAACTAACTGAGAAGAATGTTTGGCGACTCCCAACCTGCGCACATCATTCACTAAACAATTAAACATGTTAAATGTTTGAGTTAGAGATTCATCTAGCTGAGCAAAAAAATGCTCATATCTCCGATTGAGGTTGTTGATGGTCGTAGCTTGAACTTCTACAGTGTCTTCATAAGCCACCGTCATCGTCTCCATCATCTCTTGAGCTAATTCACAGTTTTGAACTAAATGATACACATGGTAGGGAAGAGAGTTTCCTATGGCTGCCCTAGCTTTCACATCAAGACTGAGAAGCCTCCTGTCATCATTGTCATAACTAGTCTTTGGCTTTTGCTTCAAGGGACCAACATGAGCGTTGTTAACCATAGGTTGATACATAGGAACATGAGGACCCTTCTCAACAATGTTAAGCATCTCATAATCCATGGTTTCAAGAAAAACCAGTCTTAGTTTTCCACATGGTAAAATTTTGCTCATCGAAGGGGGGGGGGGATCTTGTTAAGAGAAGACGATTTGGGATTATAAGAGGTCGACATAATTATTTAAGTGTATCAAAAACCTGCTCTGATACTAATTGAAGGTTTGTATCGATCGGATACACTTCGAGTATAATCAACAAAGAACAAACTAACTAAACAAAGTTTAAACATGAAAATAAAGAACATGTGTAATCATAAAGATGTCTTTCACCAAGAAATGGGTGTTCTCACCAAAAGAACGAAGGTCACAAAGACAGTCACCAAGACATACATTAGGGTTTCACCCTAATGTTGAATATATATATATATATATATATATATATATATATATATATATATATATATATATATATATATATATATATATATATAGAGAGAGAGAGAGATAGGTTCAGGTGTTTAAAGTAATTATTGTGTTATCGTATGCATAAATGTGGGCCAATCAAAATTTAAAAAAAATTTAAATAATCTAATAAATAAATAAGGGTAATTTAGTAATATGATTAACAACTTCCAAAAATAATCCCTATAATCATGGTATTGACTTTTAACCCTAATTTCTCCAGGTTTTATATCTTTTTTTTGAAACGGCAACGTACTCCAATACCAATACCCCACCAT